AAGGCTGCAATCAGGTCTCCCCGCAGCCTCCTCCTCTCCAGGCTGAACACCCCCAGCTCTCAGCCTGTCCTCACAGCAGAGCTGTGCCACCCTCGGATCGTCTCCGCAGCCTCCTCCGGCCCCGCTCCAACAGCTCCATGTCCTTCCCGTGCTGAGGACCCCCGAGCTGGACGCAGGGCTCCAGGGGGGTCTCCCCAGAGCGGACCAGAGGGGCAGAATCCCCTCCCTCGCCCCGCTGCGGGGGATGCAGCCCCGGAGATGCTTGGCTTTCTGGGCTGTGAGCACACATTGCCGGCTCATGGCCAGCTTTTCATCTATCAGTACCTCCAAGTCCTTCTCCGCAGGGCTGCTCTCAATCCCTTCATCCCCCAGCCCCATGGCCACACCAGCGGTGATGAACCAAACAAACAGCTCCAGCCGTATCTAAGTCCTCCACGACTGCGGGGCTCCCACAAAACCCTGGGACTAGGGAGAACACTGCTGCCATGGGGGAAGCACCAGCTCCTCTCCCACCGTTTGGACACAGCCAGGTGTCCTGCAACAATCTCAACCAAATCCCGTGCTGATGTCCAAGACCACTGCAGGCAAATCTGAGCCGCGCCGGCGTGACCTGCCTCCTGCCTAAAGATGCTGCCGTCCTCACTGACGCCCTGAATCCCCTGGCGTCCAATCTTGGGCTTTTGGGGTCATCCGAGTGCTCCAGCACAACCCCAGCCATCAACATGCTGACAGTCATGCTGTTCTCACCCCCCACTTCTCAAAGAGCTTGACTGACTTCTTCCGATGGTGGAAACTAACGGTCACGTTGGCCGTGCTCTGTCCCTGCACTGCCCAAAGCAAGGCACATCAAGACAACGGGGCATGCTGATGAGACAGGATAACCTTCCCCAAGCCCAACGGCCCCTTTCTTCCCCACCACCTGCCCCACAGAGCCCACGTCTGGGGGCAGCGGCGCCTCCTGCCCGTCCCAGCTACGCTTCCAGCAGAGCCACCAGTGATGCAGCCTGCGCTGGGGATGGAAAAGCAAGAGCAGCCCGGCGGGAGCAGGATGGGGGCAGCAAGAAGCACAAGCCCCAGGGCAGCACGCCCCATGCCAGCACACCGCCGGAGACACACATGCAGCATCACCCGGCCCGGCTGGAGCCACACGGGGAAGAGGCACCATGGCTCCCCGGATGGGACCCCTTGGTGCTGCACCTGCCTAGGCTGCCCGTGCCAGCATGGCTCTCTGGGGAAGAGGCAGCTCTTCTTGGAGGCTTTCAAGTCCCACAGCAGCACCTCTTTGACCACTCAGCCCTGGCAACCCAACCTTTGGCCACGTCGCGGGTTTGCTCAGAGCCGGGGCTCACTGGGAGAGCCCAACGCCTGCCAGCGCCGGCAGCATGGGACTTGCTCGCAGCCCACCAGGTGCTCGTGGCCCCGTTCCCTCACCCCCCTCCAGGGAACGGGGCACACGGGGGCAAATTCACAAAGGGCAAATAAAAGTAGCTAGAGGATGCCAGGGGGAGAGAAGGTGATGCCTGTCCCTGGGCGATCCCTGCAAGGCAATGGCAGATGCCACTTCTGGCTGTCCCTTCCCCCAGCTCTGCGTCCCCTCCCAGCACCAGCTCAGGTTGCCAGAGGACGCACAGACGGGGCCAGGCTGTGCATCTCTAACCTGCCCTTTCCTACCTAGGGCAAACCACCCCAAAACTGTCTTGACCCGAGTCAAACACCAGCTGCTGCCGGCACAGGGTTGAGATGACAGCCAGGGCCCACAGCATTTCTGGTCACGGGGGACGAGTGGGAAGTGCTGAGCCGTGGGGGCACGGAGCAGGACCCAGGGCAGCAATGCTCCCTGCCTGCTGCATCCCCTGCCCGGGATGGGAGCCGCAGTACCCACAGCCTGGGGCTGCAGGGCAGGAGCGCCGCAGGCAGAGCCCCACAGCAGCATCACAGGCAAATACTCACTCTTTAGCTTGGAGCGCACTTTGTTCGCCGTCTTCTTTATGTCAGACATCAGCTCTTCCAGCTCCTCCTTCGTTTCTGGGGAGAAAGAAAAGAGGATACAGGGGTGTGTTGGAGACCCTGCTAAAATCTGCTGCCCGGTCCCATTGCACGTGGAGACCAGAGCTGCGAGCGCTCCCACCTCCAGCCTGGGCGCACTCCCACCCCACGCATCCCGTTGGACTCTCCTCACAGTCCTGAGCCTGGAAATAAAATAACCCTGCTGCTGGTCGGGCAAGCAGGCAGCCGGTGTGCCGTCCTGCAGGAGCCCCTGCCCCACAGCCCTAACCTGCCCCACACCCAGCGCTCTGCAGAAAGCGGAAGGGAAGGGACAGACAATCCACAGTGCTGGTTCCTGTAGCAGAGAGAAAACCACTGCTGGACACCAAAAACCTTCTGCTCACCAAGGGCTGATCTCCCCAGGCCCCTGCCATGCCGGCCAGCCCTCCCCAGGGTGTTACAAAAGGTCACGTCTTTCACTGGCATCCCTTACTAACAGCCAGTGTCTGTGTTCACTCCCCAGCCTGAATTTGCTGCTTTTGGCAGAAAAATAGGGGTTGAAGCGGCCAGAAACCGCCCCCAGTCCCACAGCTCACGTCTCGGGAACGCCTGAGCAGCCCAGCCATGGCGGGAGGGTGTAAAGCAATTCTCGTCTTTCGACGGGCAGGGCCACGGGAGTTGGAAATAAAAACAAGGACAAGCAAGTCCCTTCCTCCCTGTCCCGGGCATCCCACGCGCGCCTGCGCAACCTTCCCGCGGCTCCCACTGGGAGAAGAGCCCTGCCGAGCACGGAGCCCGTCGGTGAGTCTCAGCATCTCCCCAGGGCCACCTCTCCAAGACTGCGAGGGCTTTCACAAGAGTCTCCTGGGCTGCCAGGACGACTGACAGAGAGAGAAGGGAACTACAGCATATGCCACACCAGAAAAATAAATCGGCCGGGGAAGTCCTGAGCCCTGCCTGACCGATGGGATCTGGCACAGGGCTATCAGCCCTCACTCCCATGTGCTAATGCCAGGAATCGGCTCTGAGCTCACCACCGCTGACAACACAACCATTGCAACATCTCCGGGCACTCGTGTCTTGTAGGACTTTTCTCTGCATTGCAGCAGCATCTCCAAGCCATGAGCTGTGCTCGGCAAACCCCGACTGGAGCAAAGTTCCTTGATCAGCCCTGCAGAGAAGGACTGAGGGACACCGGGTGACAAATGGGACATCAGCCGGCAATGTGCGCTTGCAGCCCAGAAAGCCAAGCGTCTCCCGGGCTGCAGCAGCAGCATTCTTCATTCAGTAAAGATGTAGGTTTTGGATTTTCACCAAAATGGTCAGAGGGCTGAAACACCTTTCCTGTGGAGAAAGGCTGAGAGAGTTGGGGTTGTTCAGCCTGGAGAAGAGGTGGCTCCGGGCAGACCTTATTACGGCCTTTCAATATATAAAAGGAGCTTCTAAGAAAGATGGAAAGAGACTTTTTGCCAAGGCCTGTAGTGATGGGACAGGGGGCAATGGCTTTAAACTGAAAGAGGGCGGCTTTAGGTTTTACGATGAGGGTGGTGAGGCACTGGCACAGGTTGCCCAGAGAAGCTGTGAGTGCCCCATCATTTGAAGTGTTCAAGGCCAGGCTGGACGGGGCTTTGAGCAACCTGATCTGGTGGAAGATGTCCCTGCCCGTGGCAGGGGGTTGGACTGGATCATCTTTGAAGGTCCCTTCCAACCCAACCCACTCTGTGGGTTTGTGATCTCAGCCAGGTTCCTCTCCCAGAAACCAGAGTGTCCTCAAAGGAGCTGAGACATGCAAGCGTGCCCCTCGCCACCCTGTGCTTCAGAAACTGCCGGACCCCCCGAGCACAGCAGCAGGGCTGGAGCGGGGGGCACAGTACCCATGCCCAGCACGCAGGTACCCGACCGTGCTCTGCCGGCGCAGCCCTTCATGCTGCGTACCTGCAAAAAGGCTGGGTGGTACGAAACTCCCCGTGCTCACCCATGGGCTTGTGGCAGCTCGGCTGGTTTGCCAGGGATGTAACTGTGCCCCAACCGTGGGACCGGCCAACCCCAAAACTCAGCAGTGAGACCAGCACGTTGCAATAGCTCAAGATCGAGATACTAAAGAAAGTACAAACCACCTGCCATTCAAATATGATTTCTCGGAAATGCCGCCACCCTAATGCTGCCTCTTGATTTTGATGAGATCAAGACTTACTTAATTAAATAAAACTTTGTTTAATAGACTCTAGGCACATTAACTGAGTCATTTCAATGGCTGTGGTAGCTCTGATGCTGTATGCTCCCAGCTGGCAGTCACAGGCATAATTAGAAAATCATGATGATGGGAATGTGCTGGGGGAAGGTCACATCCTATCGACGGTTGTACACATTTCTGACTCAGAGCTAAGAGCTTCAGCCCTATTGTGAAAAGGAAAAAACGAACACGACTGTGAATACCTTCATCCCAGGCTCCAGGTATTTCTGAGCAAGCCAACACAGCGGCCTCACCAGGGTACAACTATGTATTTGCTAGAGAATAAGCACAAATGCAGGGAAAGGAAGAGGACATTTTCAGTTTGAGTTCTCATTTGAGTGACTAATTATTTATTTTGTCCCCATTCTTGAAAGAAATTGTATTTAATAAAGAAACAAAGCAGCCTGGGCTGAGTAACTCCCTGCCCCCAGGCAGGCTGGGGCCAGCTGGCGGGAAGCAAAGTCCCAGGAGGGGACAACAGGCTGCCACGAACACAGGGACAGGCCGGGAGCTGGGCTTCTTCACCTGGAAAGGGGAAAGCGAAGGGGGTTCCTACGGCTGCCTACGACCACCCAGCAGGAGGCTGGAGAGAAGAAGCTGGGGCCAGACTTCCCGCTGGTCCTTGGAGGTGACCTTCAGCTTCTTGCTGAAGCTTGGAGGTGCACAGGGACAGGACAAGCAGTGATGGACCAAGTTGAGACAGGCAAAATTCAAATTAAATATTGGGAAAAAAAATTGTCATCATGAAGGCGGTCAAACACTGGACCCAGAGAGGCTGTGGGATGTCCATCCTTAAGGATATTTAGCATGCAGCTGGGTGAAGGCCTGAGCAACCTGATCTGATGGACCTGCTGGAGGGTACTGGACCAGGGACCTCCAAGGTCCCTTCCCACCCATATCCATCTTCAATCCTATCAAACAGTTTCACATAACTCACTTCTGCGTACCTTCCCTTCTCCCTGTCAGTTCGGGCAGAGGGGTACGCTGCGGTGATGCATCGCTGAGGACGCACAGGGCAAGTGGTGACGGCGGGTGAGCATCCCGCCGTGCTGGCCGCTCAGGAAGGGGACAGGACCACGCGGATGGATGGAGGGGACACGGGACACGGAGCTAGGCTGCCTTCCCTCAAAATATTTCCAACTGAGCAGCAGGGAGAAAACACTCCTTCTGGCTGGCTTTGAGTCACAGGACGTGTGAGGATTACTTGGCGACCTGGCAGGCACAGGCTTCCCAGACAATTATTTTCACATCCATGGCGTCTGTTTAAGCGGCTCACTCAAATCTATTTAACCGTTCGCGGTTCAGGCAACAGGAAGCTGAAGTACCGCGTCACCACTGCTACGGCTGGAGTCACCCCGGCGAGGAGAGCGGCGCTAAGGGGCAAGACGTGATGTTTAAGAGGAGGGACCAGACCCGGGATGTCTGCTCTGCTCCTGCTGGCACTGAGCACAGCAGGAGAGCAGGGATGCTCCCGTGGCCACCAGCACCGCGGGGCCGTGTCCCCAGTCCCCGCCGGGAGCGGGAGGAGGCTTTGGTGCAGGGTTGAGCCTTACATCCCCGAGAAGCACCAGGGCCCGCTGCGATCTGCCCTGGAGGGGAGCCCAGGCAGCACAGGGGAGGCAGGGGTGCAGGCAGGGGTGCAGGCAGCAGTGTGAGCTCTTTCTCCTCCCTCTGCCAACAGCGGGGCACCGGCCCGGGCAGAGGGCAAACGCCCAGCCCAGACTGGTAACACCATTCAGCTCCAGCACAGCCTCAGCTGCTTGGGAAAGGGGAAAAACCAATTCCATCACGCTCCCCTTCCCCGCAGCTCTCTGAGTTCCCAAAAGCATCCCCCACGCACGAGGGAAGGGGACAAACACAAGGAACCGGTGCCCGGAGCTGCCACGTAGGATGCTCCTGAGGGCAGCGGGGGGACTCCTGCCCGCAGCCCACCACTCCCCATTGACATTCACCATTACCAATAAAGGGAGGAGAGAAAAAGCCTCCAAACTGCCCAGCAGCGAGCAGGAGGGCAGCAGCAGGCAGGCAGGCAGGCAGCAGACCTCCACCCTTCACGTAACGGGCGGGCGCCGGCCCCCCCCCTGCCACAGCACGCCTGAGCATCACCGTGACGGTGACTGTGCACACACAATACGCTTCTCAGCCGCTGAAGCTTCCTCACTCACTTATCGTTTGGATGAATAAACCTTCACCTCTTTGCGACCTGCAATTCTTTACTGACAACAACCAGCCAACTTAACCAAGAAAAGTACAATTTCAAGCTAATTCATAACTGAGTTACCTGGCAAAGCTGGGAAGAAGGATCTTTTTGGCAAAGAGTTAGCTCTTTCAATAAACAATTAAAGAAGATCCTGACCACTGTTCCTCCATAGAAATTTTAAAAAAATAAACATTTCTCACCTTAAAACTTTTCTTCTGTCTCTAGCAAGTTACCGTTGACGGGCCTGTTTATCTTGGCACTTACATTTACAAAATGTAGGGTATTTTTTAAAGGTGAATGCAAAGATGCACAAAAATGCACAGACCTGGCAGCCCCACGAGCTATCCGGTCTCTGGGAGCAAACCATAAGGAATCCTTCCTCGGGATCTACGGAGTTGGTTGAAACATTTTCCATAGTGTTTCATAATAAAAATGAAACCTGTTTTAAAAACCACCAGGGAGGAGATGGGCTAGAAAGGCTGTTCCAGCCCCAAGCTGGGAACTACTGACCAGTCAGCCTCACCTCCATGCCCGGTAAGGTCATGGAGCAGATCCTCCTGGAAGACATGTCAAACTTATGGATGGCAGGGAGGTGATGGAAGAAAG